GTTTTTTATTTTCATTTAAAAACTTCTTGGGTCAAAGTTAAGGTATATTCAACTTCACCACTAAATATTTTAGCAAAAAGGTAACCGACTATAATCAATGACATTATCATTAACTTTATTAAGAAAAAATAAAATAAAAAAAAGGGAGAGGGAGGGAGAATTCTCCTTTCATCAAATTAATGGTATTCATTGTACTGCTGTGTCATCTCCTGAAAATATCTCATTATTTCTGGGACACAATTTCTTTTTCACTATTCCATGAATATAAACCAATGCAACCACATTTGCTGAATACCGAGATTATTTTCTAATATCCTGTTTCATTACTTTTTTAACCTTATTCCTTCAAAAATACAATACACATTTACCCAATCAAGACAGGAGACCCCTACACCATACAAAACAATGGAGAGAATGCAAAAAATCAGAAGCATAGGAATCAAAATTACCCTGCTCTCTATGCCCCAGGCTCCAGCATACACATATATTTTAGTACGGATCCTAAAAGGGGGTTAATTTCCCTTAATGAATGCAACATGGGCCAAACAAGCTCATAGTTAAATTGCATTCTCTAGTCAGCTGCAGACGGCATGGAGACCTCGTCCTGCTGTGAGGTGTGGTATGCAATGAAGTGATAGGCCATAAGAGGACATCATCCTGGCATGATTGGGTTAAATGTATAATATAGTTGCGCTGTGTTGGCTTCTGAACATTCTCCGAGACTTTCTGCAATAGAATTTCTTACTCAATATTTCATGAATTTAAAGCCACAGCCACATTCTCTGATAAGAGGGTTTGTTTTCCATTATTCCCAGTATCAGTAAACATGTTCTATCACACCCTTTTGGAGTAAATTCTAATAAATTTGCCAAGTTACTTTATTGATTTATTTATGCATTACATTTTACATAACATGATAGAATTTTACAAGTATAGAGCGATAACTATCACAATGGCCGGCAACAGACCAAATGGCGGTATTAATTTTTTTTTAACAAAAATAAAAAGAAAACGTAAAATGGAAAAGAAAAAGAGGACACCGGTAAGAGATAAGAACATTCTGGATGTTGACACTAGAGTTGTGTCCTCTCAATGCACACGCTGCAGTTCTTCTCTCTTGATTTCTATGCGAACAATTTCCGAGTTCATCTGATAAATTTTAAGAATATCATAAAAGTATCACAAATTGGTCACGGCAAAGGAGGCTCACTTATAGACCTTCAGTTGGCTGTAGTTCCTTGAGATTTCCTGGTTTTCCAAATGAGCTGCATCATGACTCTGACTTACGTAATCTGAATCTTATCATTGTTGCTTCCTGATGGCACTGCTTGCGTTTTGGTACAAGGAGGAAGTCGTCCGATTGGTTTGAGCTAAGCACGCCTCGTCCAAGTAAAACAAAAAAACAAACAAACAAAAATAACGACTGCAACTTCCAAATGAGTTTTGGATTAGTGTTATACAAGACATAACTGACTTTCCTCTCAATATTTTTTTTCTTCCTCTACCTTGGCTGATTTAACAAATTCCAATCTACGGTATTTACACACGCAAAAAGACTTATATATATAATGATTCCTCTTTCCTTGTACCATGCATGACACTATAATTTAAAACAACAAATATCAACTTGTTTCCTGAAATCTCATTGGCCTACTTTACCTACTTTGAAAATGCGTCAAACTGCACACTCACCCTCATTGAATAAGTAGGCATTGCCTAATAGGAACATATATATAAATATAATTCTAGCAGGATGAGAAAGCTTGACCACATTTTCTCTCCACCTGGATACCTGACAGTGCTCGGCGGCACCATCTACTCCTTTGACCTGAGGCGCGACCTTAATAATCCTGCGGAAGTCCGCTTCATTATTCGAGTCTGTGGTTTACAAAACATCAATAAGCTCAGGATTTAGCAGCAACTTGCGTGGTTCCCAACTGGCAGACTGCGATGGACAGGACACAACTACCAGCCTCTCTTCCTTGAATCCTCAGCTCTGTATGACTGCATAAAACATGATGCCTGAGGTGAGAGCACAGGTGCTACCTCTTTAAAATTTTCTTCATCTTTTTTTTTTTTTTTTTAGAGCTGACCACCACAAAATCAAATCTAAAATGCTTTCAGAAGGGCAACCAAAAAAGAAAAAAAAAAAAAAAAAAAAATTATATAACACATAGAAAACTAGGAAATATCTCACATGTCTAAAAAATGACATTAAAATACATACATCATAATCAAGATAAGCTGTGGTGATCGGTAAACTATTAACGGGGGGTTGCCGTTTATACCACAACGGTAACCGTGTCTGTCTGTGTTCTGCATAAATACACGGCACTTGCAGCAGATGAGGAATATCAGTAAACAATGTACATGAACAAAGTGGAGCTATTGTAATGGTTTGTGTATACGTTCCACAGGAATGAAACCATCATTTCCTTCTTACTGTTAAAACTGTTTCACAAAATAAGATACAATGTTAATTTTTCCTTCAAAATTCTGT